GAACTCTTGAAAAGGATTGATAGTCGCGACATGAACTTTTTTTAGGTTTATGGACGTAATGTACCCTATCATAAACCTTATTTTGCATAAATTTGGCAAAGGATTCTTATACGTTGCACTTTCATAAACCCTCTAGGATAGATGAGCATTGATATACCCTTACAGGATTTGTCAATTTACCCTTTAGAAAAACCGTAGGAAAGAAAAAGCGGTTATCAAGGGTTTATGAAGTTAATAAACCTTTCAAGGGTATATGAAAGTGCAACGTATAAAATACGCTTCCTATAACTTATGAGGTTAATAAACCCCTAAAAAGGGCTTATTACTCTGCGATTTTGTTTACACTGTATACTGTTAGAACAACTAGATGGTCTTGCTCATGATCTATTATGTTTTTTTCTACTAGTTGTTTTCTTCTCAATGTGCATGTATGTAGATGCTCTTCATAGAATAAATATACTCAACAATAATAAGACTCTCGATTATTTTCCTGTATACTAATTTTCGTAACATCTAATTTTTATATCGATGAATTTTCGTATTGATCAGTTTTCGTATGGATCAATTATCGACGATTAATTTTGTTTGATGTTTTTTCATTCGATCATTTCCCGCTTTCCTGTCAGAACTACATGACGAGAGTCTTTAGGAAGATCGAAACGCATTGTAGTGTACTAGACACGCCCACACCCTTTTCTCTTATCTCATCCAAGTCTACCTTACGTAAAGAGGCTCAATTCGAAAACGATTTCACACCTCTAACGATTCTGTTCTTACGTGAAGACAGCTTCGAGAGTTTTATACGAAACCATCTTGGTGAAACTTTTTTCACCGCTGTCTCGAATGTATCTTACGAAACCGTTTTTGTCAAAAATATAATATATTTCTTCTATACTTCTACTCGATTTAATACGTCCAAATAAAAAAAATGTTCTGTTTTTGGTCTTTTGCGGTCTTATTTACTTCAAACAAACTACAAATTTTCTTACTCGTTCGTATATTTCTTCATGTAATAGGTAACACGGCGGACGACAGAACAGAATAGCGCACGTTACTCGTTTTACCTTACGCGAAGAGGGTTATAAAGGAAAGATGGTTATCGCCGCGTCAGTCGTCAATCAAACGTGCGCCAAACAACGTAGTTCTTTGTCTATACGTCTACTTGACGAAGTATTTCGAAATGGTGCAATACCTCCTTTTTATTCTTATGGGCTCTTATTCGCTTTCCCCGACTCTTTTTCAGTTGCAAACATGAAACAAATCGACTTTAAGTATAACAAATTATTTTAACTTCTCGCTTAATTATAAAATTGAAAAGGATACGTGACGGTAAGACCATTTTTTCTTCAAAATATTTTTTTCAAAAAAAATTACATATTTGGAATTAACATTAAATTCTAAGTAAAATGGTATACTTTTAGTGTGATAAAACGACTTTCACTTTTCACGATTCATTGAGCAGTTACAAGGAAATTCTAGACTATTTAGAGGTTTTCTCGCACAAATTTTAGTAAATCTAGTAGAGTATGTCCATAGAAAACCACCAGATCTATTCAGCAGCCTCCATCGATTCGGATGAAACTTTCGGGGTTTGTAGAGCTTTTCAAGCTGAACATTTTTGTATAAAAATCTTTTCAGTTTAATCTTTCCTTTGACGAGATACCAGCCAGATACTAAGAGCATCTATTTTCGTTTTTTGCAGTCTGTTGAAAAACAAAAAGTCGACCATATACCGGAAAACCATGCATATTTCACCATAGCTTATTTGGAATCCATAGCTTTCAAAAAAAAATTAGTACTCTTTTTAGTCTCTATTGCGCCTTCAAGATTGGCCTCGAAGTACACAAATCGCGAAGATTGTTGAGAAAATTTTCTAATAAAACGGGAATGAACGGAAGAGGCCATATAGATACTCTCTAAAAAAAAGGTGCCATAGTCAACCACAAAAGGCTCTAGCTCCTCGCTAAAACCTTTTATGGTTCTAGATTTGGGTACCATTTTCCGAACCTTTTTTTAAGTTTCAGAAAAAAGTTGGGTGGGGATGGGTGCGTATGTTTTTCCGTAATACAGATCCACACCCACCTACTGTTATCGATTCTATTCTCTGTTAGCTACGCTATTATTTTTCACTGTGACAGTCAATATCTCATGCTTTCATTTAGACGATACACAATAGAGCATGGCACAGCCCTCGTCACAAAAACATTTCATCTGCCCGTTTTCCGGTTGTGATAATCGGTGTGATGGTAATCATTCGGATCCTTGTGATGGTCTGAGCCCTCGTCCTACTCATGTTGAGGTTGTGATTTATGATATTGGTATGCGTAGGCCTCAATGTGAAAAATGTATAAATCCTCAAGATGATCGTTTTGTTCGTTATACCTGCCGAAAATGCTACTATCATTTTTGTTATGCTTGCTGTTTCAAATGAATATCATATATCGACGATTAAACATTAACTGATTGATTATTTTTTATTTTAATTCGGTATTTTGTTCTTCTCTTTTCATAAACATTAACGGTTCTTTTTTCGGAAATTTTTTTTCGGAGCTTCTTAAAAGAGATACTTTGTAACTAAATATCATAGCTATTTGAAGCTTCATAGTTGTTGAAAATTTGGCGCCTTCACAACAGTATTGCAGCTAATTTTGATTCAAGTAACTATTTAAAACCTATGGTTATTTAGCCCTAAAACGCCCACATGGAGTCCACGCGGACTCCAACCATCTTGAGGGTGTGGGTGTGGGTGTGTGGGTGTGGGTGTGTGTGTGGGGGTGGGTGGGTGGGTGTGGGTGTGTGTGTGTGGGTGGGTGGGTGTGGGTGTGTGTGTGTGGGTGGGTGGGTGGGTGGGTGGGTGTGGGTGTAAGCGTTCTTGTCATGCTACACCTATACCCACACCCATTTATCTCAGATTGAATTTGAATCTCATTAAAAACATAAGCTGTAATGAGTTCATCATTACCCAACTCAATATGATTTTAAGATATTGCATTTTAAGAAAAGGAACAAAAACTGACCAAAAGTTAAAACTAAATAAAAACGAAGCTGAAAAAATTACTCCTCTCGACATCTCTATGTAAATTTAGTTGTGGTTTGCCCATTGTCCAGAAATCATCTACTCCATACATACTTGCATTAACTGAATATAATGCATTAATCCATTGTCGTTTAACAAACTGACTTGATTAAGAAAAGAATAATTCGTCATTTGTCTTTTCAAGTATTTATTTCTTATATAAGATCATTCAAAAAGAAATTCACATGTTTTCCGTAGCAAAAATAATTCGAAGTGATTCAAAAAAAATTAGATTGACTTTCAGCAAAACGCATAATGAAAAAAAGAGGAAGTTTCACAAAGATCATCACGAAATAATATGTTTGATGTTCATCAAATATAAAATTTGTCTGTCCGATTGAATATTCGAGAAGAAAGGCAAGACAAGGAAATGGAACACATGTAGCTTCGATACACCATTGACGTACTTTAATCCAAGTTACTTGTGTACCACTATTTGACAATCCAAGCCAATGATATATACAGCAAGATAGAATGTAAACAAACATTAGTAAAACTTCCTTGATTAATACAATCGCTAAGTAAGTAAACCTTTTAAAAAAGGTGAACAGGATCCCAAGTGAATATTTGATTGCCTTATATGACACATATAACGAAAACGACTAGAGATTATGAATAAAATCGCAAAGCCACAAATGAAACCAACATTAAGAGGAACAAAGCACATTTGAATTATTGATACAACTGTAAAATGGTTCTGTAAACGCGATCGCATATTAATGAGACATGTCATTCGTTTGTTGCTCACTATCATAAGTTGAATCGAAAACGAAGATAACGTTTCATGCATTGATAACACTGATATAATAATAAAAAAGGAAACAATTCCGTTTATATCGTCCGTCTAGAAAAAAAACAGTCTAACATATGTGAAAGATGTTCGTCGAGTGTGACCTTCAGTCAATAGTGTCTCTTCTCCCTCTTATATAATTATCTAAGAATAGCAAATATTAATGATGAAGTAATGTATTTCTTTATTAGTTTTCGTATGATCAAAAGATTTTTGTTCACGTGAAAAATCAATTAATTGCTATAAACATATCATGAGAATGGGCGTGGCTGAGGATGTGGGTATATTCTGTCTTTTGACTCACACCCACACCCATCAATAAAAATAAGTCTTATCCCTTATATTTTCTGTATGCGTTTTTCTTTCTTTCTACAAATTGTTCGAGATAATAAACTACGGCTGAACAAGTCAGTTCATCACACAACTTTTTTTATCATTGAATATTTGATCAAATCACGGTGAAGTAATACGCATCCACCATTAAATGACAATGTTTCAGAAAGAGATCAGCGAATCTATCGGATGAGCATTACTTGTTGAACATATGTAAACAGAAATATAATAAATCAAATACTAAACATGAGTTATAAACAAGACTATATTCCACATATAAATCGTAACGAGCGGATCAGAATAAATAAATATCATCTATAATTCATTATAGAACAAGATATTTTTTTACAAAACGTACAGATTTGATCATGTCAAATAATAGTTTAATACAAGTAAAAATCGATGAATAGATGAAAAAGTAATACATTGATATCTTTCTTTTAACCTAGATTATATACCGAGAAAAAAAAGAAACATTTACTTCATTGATTGTAATACTTATTTTTTTTTCGTTACATTTACACGTGTTTTTTTCTGTTATTTTTTTTTCATTACGAACGATACAAGGACATACAAGTTCCATTTTCATTTACTCTATAATCATTATATTTTACTTACGTGTAAGAAAGAAAAAGTACATGTAAATATCACGTAGCAAATATACCATGTCATTATTTATTACGTATATTTATATAGTCAATTTTTATATACGCATCAATAAAAATAACTCATTTTATTGTATATTTGAGTATAGTTCTTTGAAGAATTGATTTTATTCAATAGATTAACTTTTAATCTCAAATGGTTGAACAAGTAGAACAAAATGAGAATACAAATAATGGAGATGAAAAGAAAGGAGCAAAGCGTAATTTCATCATGATCTGTTTGGCATATGTTTGTTCATATACTTCATTGAATGCGGTTATTAGTTTACAATCGAGTATCAATACCGATGCAAATATTGGTCTGTATTCACTAGCAATTATGTATGGTAGTTCATTGATTACATCGCTCTTCTTTACGACTCCTATTGGATATATTTTCGGATACAAATGGTCGATTGTTAGTGGACAATTTGGTGCTATGATATATGTTGCATCCAACATGTATCCAAAACAATGGCTAATGTTTTCAAGTAAGTATACTAGCAATATGAATCGTAAACGATAGATAAACACTTTTGTGTTCAGCTGCAGTAATATGTGGAATATTTCGTGCCTGTATGTTTATGGCTCAAGAAGCGTATGTTTCTATTCTTGCTGGTGGTGGAAGTGAGGACGACGATAATGATGATGATAATGACACGAAAAACAGAAAATATTTTAGTATATTTTTTTCTGCATATCAATCCGGTGAGTTAGATCAGAATAAATAGTTTGATTTTATTTGTATATTGACATGGTAACATATAGCGGAGATTTGGGGAAATCTTATTTCATATATCGTCTTAAGAAATGTTCCAACAACTACAGAAACAAATCTGGAACAATGTGGAGCAAATTTCCTAGAAAAAGAACATGAAGACCAGCAAGAAAATGGTCATATATCTTCAACAATAGTATATATATCTTTCACAAATCATTGTTTTGTATTGATTTGTAAGTGTTACAAATTATTTTAGACATACATTCTCTTCAGTATATTCGCTGGAGTAATTATGATATCCGTGATATTGGTGGTTTTTTTTCTCAATCAGAAACGTGATATTAAAAGTTAGTATCGATACTCACGATATTTTATCTCATCAATGTGCAATGTGATTATTTTTATTGAAGAAGATAATTCTAAAAATATATGGCACAAATCAATAGAATCTTCATCATTAACATTAAAAACATTGATCAAACCTATGCATCTGATCATATTTCCGCTTGGATATTGGACAGAATCGGCACAAATATTCTTTATGGGATCGTTTACTAATGTAAGTTAGTTAAATTTTGACGATTAAAAGTATTGAATTTGAAATTGATTTCGAAGAGCTTCATTACTTGTTCTGTTGGCGTTAAATATGTTGGTATGTTTATTATTCTATTTTGGCACAATCTCTCATACCTTTTTAGGGCTAATTATGACAATGTATGGTGTGACTGTTACTCTATCTTCGATAGCTATCATCTTTTTAGTCAAACGAAAATATAGTCGTCCAGCATGTTTCGTGGTCGCAGCATTGTTGAGCTACACCGTATTTATTGTTATGCTAATATGGAAACCAGCATCGTCACAAACTTATGTGCTCTTCATTCTTCCATGTTTATCAAGTATTTCAACTGGTATCACCGAGCCTTTTATAACAGGTTAGACTATATAAAAGTATAGAGTCCTCTTTCTCTGTGATCACTTTTTCTTTAGCTATGTATAATTCAGTATTTCCTGGAAAGAAAGATACAGCTTTCTCATTATTAACATTTGCTCAAACTGCAAGTTGTTTAGCTCTTCTACTCTATGCATCTGTGTTGCGTGTTCGTATACAAATTATTCTCCAACTTATTTTTCTTACTTTGGCCATATTATCCTATATTATCATTTCAATCAAACAGTATCGATCTTCAAACAACAACAATGATGAACAACAAATCTCTGTTTTAAATGATCTCGTTATGATTCCTTCGATTAGCGAAAGACTATAGAATGGATATTTCATTCTGTGTATAATAATATTATGACTCATCAGAGGTCAAAAGAAGGATCCGTGTGGGTGTGAGTATTTACTTCTTATTTTTTTTTCCTCAATAAAATATATGTACTCATAGTTCATGAGAAACAGGTGACAGACGAAACGATGATTAAGTAACATCATATAAAAAATATCACACATTTGTTTACATTAACAACTTCATCATAACGAAAGAACTCTAGTATTAGTTCTTTATTCTTTTCTGTTTGACAAGTTATGATGCAATATGTCACTTTGTCAATATATAAGTTTATATTAATAGATTGAAATTTGAGTTATCTCATCATCCATTTTTTGTTTTCTTCATGTTAACTGACTCAAATTCTAATACAACATAGAAACAAATAAAGACATACGAACAACAATAATCAAATAAACATAGAAAAAAAAAAGAAGAAGAAAATGTCTTTGAATTGAATGATGGCTTAAGTAAAGAAGTAAAAGTTAAAGAGAGGAGGAGAAGAAAAATAATAGTAATATTAGAATGTCATTTTGTTAACGACGTCGTGTTGAATTAATAATATGATTACGATTATTATTATTATTATAATTATTAATTGAACGTATTTGTGTTCGATTCGATAAAGTTGATGATGATGATGATGATGACGATGATGATAAAGTAGAATGTTGTTTGGCATGATGCATTCGTTCGAAACGTGGTGCAATAAATTTTAATTTTTGACCATTAGTATTTAATATATCATTTGTACTCATTATGTTTGATAATGTATTATTAATTATTTGTTTTGGTTTGTCAATCACAGTTGACAATGAAGCTAATTTATTTGATGTTGTTGTTGTTGTTTTTGTTGTTTTTGTTGTTGATATTGGTTTAACAGCAGCTGCTGCATATGATATACGTCGTGGCATAAGTGGTAGTGGTATAGGTAAAGAATGTTCATTGATCCGTATATTATCTCGACTATTATGATGATCATAAAGTATAGATGATTGTTGTGAATAGTCACTTCGACTAGCATCACTAGCTGATTGATAACCATCATCTGTATCAGGTGTTGATGAACGATTTAGATTTATTTGGTCATCATCGATATTATTAATCGGTAGAGTCGGTAATAGTGACTCATTAGTTGTATGACTCTCATCGTCCGATGTATGAATTAATTTTGGTGTTAAATATAATAAAGCGAGTAAACATGTAGGTAAAGTCGTTAAGAAACTACGATTAAGATTATTATTATTATCATCATCATCATCATCTTTTTCTTCGATTTTCTGTTGATGATGAATAAAAGTCGATGATGGAATATAAAATTCCGAATAATATTGTGGTGAAAAAAGTAACCAGTCCCAACAAGCAGTTATTGTTGGTGGTGATGATGATGATGATGATGATGAAGGAGAGGAGATAATAGGTACGGACGGTGTATTAATACTCATATTTTTTGTTGGTGCAACAATGACTGGATTCCAATAAGATTTTGATGTTGGTGTTGTTTGATATGACGACATTTCATCACCGTATTGATTGAGTGAAGTAGTCACGTAGTAGTTGGGAGTTGTAACTAGAAAAAAGACAAGATGATAATGAAGAAGTAAAATGACAATGAGCACGGCAGTAATAGTAAAAGCACGTATATGAGAAGAAAAAAAAAAAGAAAGACAAAAAACAGTCCTTTGAGCACCCGT